TTTTTTTTTGTAAACATATACAAGATTGTCCTAAAGTTTATGTGGAAGGCAAAGGAACTAGCATAACTTAAAGAATTTTGAAAAAGAAGAATAAAGTGTGAGAAATCAGTCTACCCAAATTTTAGATTTATTATATAGCTATAATAATCAATGCTGGGTATCCCTGTAGGTGGAGAGATAAACACATAGATCAATGGAACAGAATACAGATCCCAGAAACAGACTCACAAATGTGCCCAACTTTTTTTTTTTTTTACAAAGATACCAAAACAATAAAATGGAGGAAAGACAACCTTTTCAACAAAGCTAGAGCAATAGGCACAAAATAAAACTTAACCTACATCTAACACCCTATATAAAATTTAACTCAGAATGGCCACAGACCTAAATATAAACTAAAACTATAAAACTTTTTTTAAAAAAAAATAGATAATCTTCAAGATCTATGAATAGACAAATAGTTCTTTTTTTTTTTTTTTTTTTTTTAAGATTTTTATTTCTAAGTAATCTCTACACCCAATGCAGGGCTCAAACTTACAATGCTGAGATCAAGAGTTGCATGGTCTACCGACTGAGCAGCCCGGCACCCCAAAGAGTTCTTACATTTGATGCCAAATGATCCATAAGAGGGAAAATCAAGAATGTGGACCTCATTAAAATTTAAATATGGTCTTGGAAAGCCCATGTGAAGAGGATGAAAAGACAAGCTACTGGGACACACAATATTTGCAAATCATGGATCTAACAAAGGAGCAGTATCTTGAATGTAAAAAGAACTCTCAAACTCAAAGTGAAAAAAATTACAATCTGACCAGAAAATGGGCAAAAGACCTGAACATGTTTTATCAAAAAGGGTATATAGAGGGAAAATAAGCACATGAAAAGATATTTAACATAATTAGCCATGAGAGAAATGCAAATTAAAACCACAAATGAGATCTTACTATATACCTATCAAAATGGCTAAAATTAGGGGTGCCTCAGTCAGTTAAGCATCCAGGTTTGGCTCAGGTCATAATCTCACGATTCTGGGTTTGAGCCCTGCCTCGGGCTCTGTGCTGACAGCTCAGAGCCTGGAGCCTGCTTCAGATTCTATGTCTTCTTCTCTCTCTGCCCCTCCCCTGCTCACGCTCTGCCTCTCTCTGTCTCTCAAAAATGAATAAAACATTTAAAAAAAAATTTTAATGGCTAAAATTAAAAACTGATAACACCAAATGCTGGTGAGGATTCAGAGAAACTGGTCAGATGTTCCTGGTAGGAATGCAGGATGCGATAGCCTTTGGAAAAGGCTTTGGCAATTCCTTACAAAGTTACACATGCCCTTACCATTTAATTTAGGAGCCCTGTTCCCAGGCATTTACTAAAGAGAAATGAAAAATTACTAATGATATATTAATGTTCATAGGAACTTTAGGACCCCAAATGGAAACATGGCCATCAGCATTACATAAACAATGGAATACTGCTCATCAAGGTAAAGGAACTAATGATACACACCGCACTGATAAATCTAAAAATACACTATGTGAGGGGCACCTGGGTGGCTGGGTCAGTCAAGTGTCCGACTCGTGGTTTCACCTCAGGTCACGATCTCCCAATTTTGTGAGTTCGAGCCCCACTCGCACTATGTCTCTCTCAAACTAAATAAATTAATTAAAAATAAATATATAAAGATACACTATGTGAAAGAAGACAAACACAAAGGACTACATGCTATATGATTCCATTCACGCAAAACTCTTGTGACAAAGTATCAGCGGTGGCTAGGAGCCAGACTTTGGATGGGGATTGGACTGCAAAGGGGCATGAGCAGTGGTGGGCTAGTAAATGTTTAACAACCTGCTTTCAGTGGGAAGGACGCCCTGGTTTGTAGCATTTGCCAATTTCTGTGGTGTAAATACCCCTTCCACTGACAATTTCATGTATCCAGTGTGATGTCATTGAACACTGCGTATGCAAGAGGTGCTAGCTAACAATCAGATCTCATTAGATGCTATAAGTTGGCTCTTCTAGTACCTCACTGGGCATAAGGGAATGTTGTGGGATGATGGAAACGTTACCTATCTTGTGGTGATGGTTAATTTGAAAAACTTACTAAAATGTACGTTTTAAATTGGTGAGTTTTAATGTAAATAAATTATACTTCAATAAAAAAAACTTTTGTTTATTTATTTTGAGAGAGAGAGAGAAAGAGAGAGAACAAGTGGGCAGAGAGGGAGAGAGAGAGAGAAAGACAGAATCTGAAGCAGGCTCCAGACTCTGAGCTGTCAGCGCAGAGCCCGACGAAGAGCTTGAACCCACAAACCATGAGATCATGATCTGAGCCGAAGTCGGACGTTTAACTGACTGAGCCACCCAGGCACCCCAATAAAGGATGATTTTTTAAAGCTGGCTCAGGTGTAGAAACAGGAAGGAACTATAAGGTTTTCTCTTTTAATGAATTGTAACTTTTTATCAGGTGGCTGTCCTCAGCCTCCTGATCGTCCATCCTTGATTTCTTTTTATGGTACAGATTGGGCAATAATAGCCTTGTTGAGAGGTGCCTGGGTGGCTCAGTCGGTTAAGTGTCCAACTTTGGCTCAGGTGATGACCTCACAGTTCGTGAGTTCGAGCCCCGTGTCTCTGTGCTGACAGCTCGGAGCCTGGAGCCTGCTTCAGATTCTGTGTCTCCCTCTCTCTCTGCCCCTCCGCCACTTGCTCTATCTCTCTCTCTCAAAAATAAACATTAAAAAAAAAAATAGCCTTGTTGAGTGCCATCTATCTCGTTCCTAGGAAAGCCATGTTCTGTGAATCATCTCCAGCAATCTGCCAATCAGATTCAGACCCTGGATGCCTGTCCAACCTTCCTGCCCAGTGCAGTAATTCAGTTACTTTGATTCCAACAGTTAGGCACCCACCACCTGCCTGTTCCAGTGCCCTGCCATCCCCACTGCTACCAGTGAGCCCAGTTCTGTGACAGTTCAGCACTAGCCTTTAGGGCGAGGCCATCCCTGAGCTTCTCAATGAAACTGGTGCCTGTCTCACCAGGACATTCTTCATCGCTTCAGTAGATGGACTACCCTTGGGCCCTCTCATGGAACATAATCATTTGGTGACTTTTCTGGCTTTACTTAGCATATTTACTCTAAGATGCCCACGTTTTTAGCCCTTTGATGTTTTCTTCCACCATCTACCATGACTGTTCTGGCATTTTTGTAAAATTTTTTATTATTTATTTTTGAGAGAGAGAGAGAGAGAGAGCACGAACAGGGGAGGGGCAGAGCCAGGGGGAGACACAGAATCTGAAGCAGGCTCCAGGCTCTGAGCTGTCAGCACAGAGCCCGACACGGGGCTCGACCTCACAAACTGAGATCATGACCTGAGCCAAAGTCAGACACTTAACTGACTGAGCCACCCAGGCACCCTGTTCTGGCATTTCTGCTTCACTTAATGTGGGCCATGGCTTCCTCTGACTTTCTAAGAGGCACCTTATCCGAGTATTAGCAACATCTCTTGGGGGCCTTGTTAGAGCATTAAGTCCTGTATCACGGGAAGTTACTTCCATATCCATCTTCCTTATCAAACTTTATATCCCACCCTCCTTGATCCAACACTTCATACCCAGCCCAACACATCTTCAACCATCTGCAGCCAGTACATGCTGGCCAGGCCCACTGGTGTCTGCAGGGCAGTCTTCCATGAGGGGGCACCCAGCTGGGTAAGGGAGGAGGGATGGCCTCTGACAGGAAGAAGTAGGTACTTTCGCAGGCCAGAGGGATTCAGGAGGTTCAAAAGCATCGACCCAGATGTCCCAGTCCGTGTCTCCTTCCAAACAGACCTGCCAGAGTTAAGAATTCAAACTTCTCGGGAGCTCTCCTACTCTCATAATTAAATCCTGGAGCTTATTCTCAGGGTCCTGAAGATGCAGGAGGTAAAAGTCTCTTTATAAGTTGCCAAGGAGGGCCTCAGGCTTTACAGTCGGCCTTTAGCTGGTGATTAATTACCCTCAGCCCTTCATCACCTTTTCCCCGAGGTATCAGCAGATCAGCAGATCAGCAGATCAGCTCCAGCAGAGCAGCCGCCCAATCCCACGGTCTTTATAACTTCTCAGACACGGTGTATTTCCCCCACCGATGCGTTGCCTTTCCCCAGGATCCCATCCTACTTCACGGCCAGTGAGGGTTTCAACAATTGCACTGATCCAGTGTGCGGGGGCCACGCATGCTCTACCTACCACCGGGGATGGGGGGCCTCACTGCCAGCTGGCCAACAGGTGATTCGGCTTTGAAATCCTTTGAAATCCCCATTTGTTTTCCCATAGTGCGAGGCTGCGTCAGGTGTGCCCACTGCCGCGTCCGGTCGTGTGGCGCTGCTCCAGCTTCCTGATCAAGAGGAAGAAGAAGACACCCAGCACCCAGCCAGATAACCGAAGGCGCACAATTCCTTCTGCTACAACAGGCTTGTTTCACCGCAAGACTGTGGGCATGGGTGGGCACGGGTGGGCACCGAGCTGCTGACCAAAGGCATGGTGCAGCGGTGGTCAGGAAGCAGAGATCCGGCCAGTGAAACCCCGCGACCTCCTGCGTGAGGACTGCTGTCAACAAGAATGCCCGGGCCACCCTCAGTAGCACCAGGCACACGACCCGCAAGAGCAAGTACTGCCCAGATGTGCACATGGCTGCCAGAAGCCTGTGCCGGTGAAGAGGGAGCCGCCCCCACCAAGAGCTCCTGAGCACCTGCCCCCACCTCCAAAGCAATAAAGATGTCAACCACACCAATCTATCAGTAAAATATAAAAAATAAAACAAAATCACAGTTTAGATTCAGCTCTCCTTGGTAGTCTTGGCACCGACTCTTGGCAGGTTGAGTTTCCGGGCAAACACACTTTGAGACCGAAATCTGAGTAAAGGGTGCCACTGGCTGGCTCAGTCGGTGGAGGGTGGGACTCTCCATCTCAGGGTTGTGAGTTCCAGCCCCATGCTGGGTGTAGAGATTACTTAAAAACAATAAATAAAATGTTGTTTTGTTTTGTTTTGTTTTTTAAAGAAATCTGAGTAAAGGCTTATGAAGCTTGTGTTGGTATCAGTACCACCTGTGAGAGCGAGAAGGCCACAGAATTGGACACAGGAACTCTGGAGCTCTTGTGACCCTTCAGAATTTTCCCCGCAGCGGCAAGAGAATCAGACCTCTGTCCTCCCACACTGACCAACCGCTACAGGCTGTCTCAGGAGGGGGTGTGAACTTGGATGATTTTTTTTTTTAATTTTTTTTTCAACATTTATTTATTTTTGGGACAGAGAGAGACAGAGCATGAATGGACGAGGGGCAGAGAGAGAGGGAGACACAGAATTGGAAACAGGCTCCAGGCTCTGAGCCATCAGCCCAGAGCCCGACGCGGGGCTCGAACTCACGGACCGCGAGATCGTGACCTGGCTGAAGTCGGACGCCTAACCGACTGCGCCACCCAGGCGCCCCTGGATGATTTTTCAATGGAGGGCAATCCCTAGATGGGTCTCAGCTGAGAACTGTTAGCCACCAAAATTCCCAGCAGCATGGACAGGAGGGGGCACAGGGGTGAGTGTGTCAGTCCTGAAGAGGGGTGTCCGGATGGATGGCACAGCATAGCATCCACTACAGCACCTTTAAGCACCGAGGACAGCCACAGACAACTTCTCTTCCCTCCTAGGTGGTCTGGGGTGGGCAGGCAGGGCCATCAGCTGAGGGAAAAAAATCAGAAAGTGGCATAGTCCAAAACCAAACAATGTGTTTGGATTGTATAGATGAGTCCTAACACCACTATGACCTCTTCAGTACATGTGATCAAGAATACACTGGGCAGCTCACCTTCCTAGAGGCGGGGGACTTCCCTTCTTTACACTCAATAGATGTTCCCATATCTCGTTCAAGACGAAGTGCAGAACAGTGAATTCACGAAACTCATGGAGCTGGAAATGGTTTTGAGTGAGACATAGCTGGCACTCAATGTTAGCCGAAGGGATGACTGGATTTTGTCCTCACCTACAGTTAGAAGGCTGGTTAACTACCCAGAGGTATAATACTTCCGTGTTCCTGAACTGTCATGTAGCCGTGCTTTGTTCTCCCAGCTAAATAATTCTAGGTTTATTTTTTCCTAGCATGAAATACTGGAATCACATTAGATGGGAAATCAGGGGGTTGCCAGCCCCTCTGCCACTCATCAGTGGGCAAGTTTCTTCATCTGTCACTAAGATCGGACTTGTGGATCTAAGGCAATTTCCACTTGGAGAAGGTCTACAATTCAGTCCTCTTTGGCATTTGGTTTTCTTTTCTCTAGTCATGAAGTGTGGAAATGAATCACAGTAATCAACTGAGCCTCGTTCCATCAGATTCTGTTTTCAGGTACTTGTTAATTGGACAATGAAGCCACCCTACAGCTATCAGACACCTACTAGCATTTTGTTCTCCCCACCCCCAGAGATCCTCATGTCTCTGTACTTCTTTGAGGGCTCTGTGTTGTCACTTCTCCACCCTGATGATGCAAGAATAGGGTACGTTGTGAAGTCCTGCTTCTGAAGGATCTCCGATTCCAGTCCCCCTGGGGCCTGTGAGAGATGGGGTCAAAAGTGTGATTACTGAAGCACTGTGTTGGGCCCGGAAGAAGCTTTCTTGAGAAAGCTCTACATCATCAGTCTCACAGTAAATAGTCCTAAACTCCAACATGTTAACTTGCATTTAGTTTACTCCCTTTCTTCACCAGGGCACCCACTGTGACCTGTCCTCGGTAACCAATCCTGGCCCTGGAGAGAGAATGCACTGAGTTCTGCTCCTTCGTTGAAATAATACCACGGGCCAGACATGGGTATGGGTGCCTGGGTGTGTAATGACAGCCCTCACAACAAATCCACAAGGGAATGTTATTCCCCTTGAGAGATGAAGAAACTCAGCAACCCAAGGGAACAAAAAGGGCTGGTTTAAGAATGCTGAGGGCCTGGGTGCCTGAGTTGGCTAAGCATCCAACTCTGGACTTGGGCTCAGCTTCTCTCGGTTCATGAGTTTGGGCCCTCCATCAGGCTCTGCACTCAGAGTGCAGAGCCTGCCTGGGATTCCCTCGCTCTCTGTCCCTCCCCACTCACACACTCTCTCAAAATAAGTAAAAATAAATAAACTTAAAAAAAAAAGAACACTGAGAGTCTATTGTTTTTCAACAAGCATTTAGGGAGAGGCACTGGTACGTAAGGCACATTTGGTTCTTTTGGATCAAAGCTGAATTTTCCCCAGGATGTCCATAGGCACAGGCCGACCTGCTCCCAGGGAGATGTTTTTGTGCATCGAATATTAGCATCCCTAGAGTTCGGTCATGTCAGTGATGCTCAAACGTAACATCTAGTAGCATGCCCCTCTGTGAAAAGCAAGGCCCTGACAGACTGTTAAACACAGACATAAAAGTGAGGCAAGACTTCAGCAAGAACTTCCCTTGGAGGAAATGAGAACTGCTCTTCAGAGCTAACAATGGGGAGATGTGGTATTAGTAACTTGGGCCCACAATCCTGGTCCATCTGGTGGTGTTCTGTTCCCACGCTGGGACACATTGTCTGCTCACCCCCTTTGCATGCCCATCATGAGTTGCATGTTTCTCTTCCTTCACCTTTGAAACTGTATTATAATAATCTATCTATGCATCTGTCTTCCCTCACTAGACTGTGAGTTCCACGAGGGAAGAGTATCTTATTCCCCAAACTTTGCATCCTGGCTACATAGTATACCTCAATATTTGATGAATGAATGAATGAATGATCAACCTTCCAAGGTTTTTTTCTTCCGGCACTTTTAAGAAGGAAACATTCAGGGGCATCTGGGTGGCTCAGTCAGTTAAGCATCTGACTTTAGCTCAGGTCATGATCTTATGGTCCATGAGTTCAAGCCCTACGTCGGGCTCTGTGCTGACACCTCAGAGCCTGGAGCCTGCTTCGGATTCTGTGTCTCCCTCTCTCTCTGCCCCTCCCCCAGTCACACTCTGTCTTACTCTCAAAAATAAACAAACGTTAAACTTAAAAAAAAAAAAAAAAAAGAAACATCCAGGAGTTCATGGAACAGGACTGCTAGAGACGAGGCCCTGGGTGTTGTAACTTCTGAAGAAACTTCCTTCTACAGGAATCTGTGAATTTGTGACTATTTCTCCATTCCTAAGCCCTGTTTCTCTTGAGCTGACCGTTTCACTCAGGCCTGGAACGGGCGGTCTCCAGGGGCGTCCCGGCTCTGCAGCCATGCCCAGGAGAGGGCGGTAGAAGCCCGTCTGGCTGGAAGGAGAGCACCTCACCCTCTAGATGCTGCCCTTTCTCCTTGCCACCCTGTGCCTCAAGCCTGGGGCGATCCAGGGGCGCCTGGGTGGCTCAGAGCCTGCTGCGGATTCTGGGTCTCCCTCTCTCTCTGCCCCTTCCCCACTTGTGCTCGCTCTCTCTCAAGAATAAAATAAGTATTAGGAAAAAAAAAAAAAAAAAAAAGACTGGGGCGATTCTTCCTGCAGGCCTGTGAGAGCCACTGCCCCAAGTGTGAGGAGGAAGAGCTGACACAGGTCATTCCGGGTCACAAGGTGGCATAGTTAGGTATGCCTGTTAGTCCCCATTACCTCCGATATCAGGTCCAACCTGTGCAACATTTCCAAGAGGCTCCTACCGTTTTTAGCCCAAAGGTAAACCAGATCTCAAGAGATGAAAAATGCCAGATAGCTGGATGCCCAACCAGCTCCCCTTACAAGAGCCCACCCTTGACCCGGCTGCCACGGCTGACTACCGCCCTTCCTCAGCGGCAGCCTCCGCCGCCACGCTAGGTGGCATCACACCCACCTCCCCAGTTCACATCCGCTAGGAAGTCCACTCAGCCAGACCCCCATCGACCCCGCTGCAGTGGTTCACACTAACTTCGCCCACAGCCCAGTTGTAAACCCAGTGGACACCTCCGGGTCTGAATCCATCTCCGTTTCCCCTGCCCCCTGCTTCCCTCTGTGTGAGTGATCCCGTCACTTCTCCCTCTGCCTGTACAAGAAGCCAGGAAGTCATTCTAGAGCCTGTGCCTTCCCTTAGAACTCCACCGCATTGAAACTGCATCCCACCAACTCCTCCTCCTAACACTAGACTTCATCTATTTCCAGGCCCCTGCACAGATCAGCACCCGCCCCCCACCCTGCACTGCAGCCTTGGGCGGGGCGGGACAATTAAAAATGTCTGGGGAAGGCTGGACAGTTGGATCCCTAGGAAAGGACTCAGAGAAAGTGCCTATCTCAGGCATCGTGGGTTGACTAAACACATGGACTTCCCAGCCTCCCTTGAGGAGGAGGCCATGTACACAGGTGTGGTCGATGAGATGGTAGTGGGAGCTGGCGGTGGGGGGCAGAGTGTTCTGGGGAAGACCCACTTTCCAGAAAAGAAAGACCAGTATCGTATCCCTTCAGCCTTGCGGGAAGGGGGAAACTGCAGAGGCAGGTCCTGAGACCACTCTGGACCCAACATGTGTGAGAAGCAAGGCCTGCACCCTAAATAGAGGCTTCCTCTCAGAGCAGGTGATCCCAGCTGGACCGCCAGCCCCATGAAGGCCTGGAGAAGAGAATCCAAGCAGAGTTCGAAGGTCTTGGCTTGGGAGCTCCTCTGGCACGTGTGAAGGAGAAAAGACCTGTGTGTCTGGAACACGGACAGGCAGGAGTCAGGGGGCCCGAAAAGTCCGAGAGGGAGAGGGGGTCTTGCAAGGCTCCAAGGCTCCTGGAGAGCCATCTGGATTTTAAGTGCCTGGAAGACCACGGGAGGGTTTCAGGCAGGAGAGTGACAGTCTGACTCAGGTTTCTAAGAGGATCATACTAGCCAGGACATGGAGAAGGAACCATGGAGGCCAGACACTGCTTTGGGGCTGACCCAACAGCAATTCCCACTCTTCTCTGGACACGTTCTTCTCTAGAAGCTAGAGGAATTAAAGGTTCCCTTTCCTGGTCGCTAGAACACCTGGCTAGACCTCACAACCCTGATCTGGCCTGTGAGAGGAAGGTGACGGGGACTTCCAGGAAAACTTCTCTTCTCCTTCCTTCTCCCCGCCTGGAGTACAGAAGCAGCCCCTCCCAACAGTGAGGCCCCAGGCTAGGGCAGAAGATACGGAAGCCCGTCTGGGTGCTGGTTGACACCACTGAAATTTTGGATCTTGCCTACAGCCTGGGGTTCTATTGGGTGAGAAGAATAACGCCCCACTGGCGAGAGCAGCTGTAAATTGATTTTCTGTTCCACGCAGAGCAGCTCACAAAGCGGGCAGGAGTCGGCACAGACCTGCTAAGATGCGGGTGGGGAGGTGGTGTGGACTATGGGGCTCTCCATTTCTAGTCCGAGTTTCCCCTAGTTGGTCTTCACACTCTGACACTTCCTAAACGCACATCTCTTCATGAACTGTTGGTTTAAAATCTTTTGCTGGCTCTTCATTGCCTGCACGATACAAATCCCCCTCCCGTGCCCAGCAGGCAGTGCCCTTTGTGACTTGTCCCACCTTCCCATCTGGCATCTTCTCCCACCACTCCCGCCCCTGCACTGTGCCCACCTCCAGTCAGACCCCCTCGTGAACACTGCCCACGTGCCAGGCACTGTCCCTCCTTTGTCCCTAACCCAGCAGCCCCAAGAGGAACAAATTACATGTTTTGGTTTATAGGTGAGAAAGCTAACCTCATGGAAGTTAAGTGCCTTGGCCAAGGCCACACATCTAGTAAGTGCTGGGTCAGGACTTAAACTCTGGTGGCCTTTCAAAACAAATCACAGATGGATTTTTCTCACTTGTCCAGAAGTCCGAAGGCAGGCATGTGCTAGGCTGTTCAAGTGCTCAAAGATGCCACCAGGGCCTCAGTCTTCTGATCTTTCCTCTCTGCCACTCTGGAGGGCTGGCTCTCTCACCCTCCTGCCCATCCCTTCACGGCCTTACCACGGCTTCTTGGCTCTAGACATCACATGCAGGTTCAAATCAGGAAGGTGAGAAAGTTGGGTGGTGGGGCACACCATCTTCATCTGTCAAACTCCCTCTCCCCCTTATTTTTGTTAAGAAAGTAAAAGCTTTCCTAGAAACCCACAGTGTGTTTGTATACGTGGCTGCCCTTGCTGCAAGGCAGGCTGGGAAACCAAGGAATGTAGTTGCTGCTCAGTAAATGCCATCCTTCCGCCGCTTGGGGCCGAGCCTACTGCTGCCCTCAACAAAGCCGATGCTCCATTAGCAAGAAAGGGGCAAGGATGGGGTACCTGGGTGGCTCAGTCGGTTAAGTATCCGACTTCAGCTCAGGTCATGATCCCACAGTCCGTGAGTTCAAGCCCCACTTCCAGCTCTTTGCTGACAGCTCAGAGCCTGGAGCCTACTTCGGATTCTGTGTCTCCCTCTCTCTCTGCCCCTCCCCTGCTCATGCTCTGTCTCTGTCTCAAAAATAAATACATTAAGAAAAAGGGGGGGGGGGCAAGGATGAGCCGGCAACAAACAGGGTCTGCCACCACCACCCTCAGCAAAATGGAAGCACCTGTGGCACCCTGACTCCCCCACCCCCACATCTCCCTGGCAAATCCCTTCCCACCTAGCACATGTCAGTTCCCCTGAGGCTTCCCTCACTCCTGCAGACTGACAACGTATTCTCTTCCCTCCTCCTTTATATGTACCTACTTCTGTCACCAGTGTCTAACTTTACAGTCTGTGTTTGTGGTGTTGTTTAGAGAAAGAGAGAGTGAATGAGTGGGGGAGAGGGACAGAGAGCACGAGAGTCCCAAGCAGGCTCCACGCTCATCTGAGCCCGATGCAGGGCTTGATCCCACCACCCTGGGATCATGACCTGAGCCAAAATCAAGAATTGGACGCTCAAATGACTGAGCCACCAAGGGGCCCTACATTCTAGCCTTTATAGTGGCTGATATAACACGACTGCTCACTCAGTTATGCAAGCATTCATTCTTCCCACAGATGGTCACTGAGCACTAGCTGTGTGCCAGACACTGGGCCGGAAGTCAGAAACTCAGCACTGAACAAGTCCGGTTTATAGATTTGGTCCCTGCTCTGATGGAGCTTTCAGTCTAAAAGGTGAGAGATCCAAACGGTTAAGGTTTGGGGAGAAAACCTGCACATCTCCTCCCAGACTTTAAGCCATCACGTGGCAGGATGGCCTCCCCATCGCACCCAGTGGACCTGGCAGACTGTGTCCCACAGAGCAGGTGCACTGTGACCACGTGCCAAATGCATGCTTTCCTTGGCCCGCAAATACATGCTAATCAAAATGCATTTCTTCTTCCTGCCAGGAAACCCCCCAGGAATGAGCCACTGTACCCTCACAGGATCACATCATACACTCAAGCATCTGAAAAACACCTCCTTCTCTCCCCACCTTGTTGCAGGCCTCTCCTCCCAGGAAAGTTTCTAAGAGTGTCTAATTTAACACTTCACATCAGAGGTCCTCAGCACATGTGTGTTTTCTGCTGAAGACTTCGTTCAGATTTTCTAAACGGGGACACCTCACTGTCGGAGCCACAGCTGCTGAAGTGTGATTCTGAAAGTACCCAAATAACTCCTCAGGTTCCTGTTCTATAGCTTATCATGAATAGTTTTAATAGTTCTCGAGATGCTCTTCTACTACGGCAGGTGCTGGCAGCTGGGAACAAGATGGACGAGACTGCTTGTGGCTGTGCCTGTTGCTATGGTGATGTGGACACAAGACACACAGGTGAGAGGTCCTTCAAACAGTGGGATGTGGAGGTCAGAGAGGTGGGGCATAAACACAGGAAACGTCTATGCTTTCTGGGCCTGGAAAGGACCTCTCAAGGCCAACTGGTCCACTCCCCTGCCTGTTAGCTGAAAACCAAATGGACGGGTGGCTTGTTGCTAAAAATCCTCAAGAACAAATTCCGCCACCTCGAGTCACCTGTTAGAGTCATATTTCACAAGACACATTACCTTAAATGGGCTTTCTCGGTCCCATCTCGTTTTCTCACCGTCCTTCAAGCGGGTTCTGGTGTCACTGTTAAAGAGGTTTGTCATCGCCCGCACACTCTGTACAGTAACCCAGGAGGGAAGATGAAAGAAAAAACCCCAAAGAGCCCCGCTGAAGCGTGGGCTCAGCTTGTTTCCACCCCAATCAGTTGTCCACAGGGTCCCCACAGGACCCCCCCCCAGTCTCCACAGGGTCCCCATCCCTGTTCTGTCCAGCCCTGGCTCTGGGAGCAAGAGGCGGGCTGGCCTAGTGGGTCAGAGCGGGAGCAGAGCTACCCCCACACAGAAGGACTTCCTCCTCTGGAGTGAAATACAGCGGAAACATCTGTTTTTAATGAGTAGCTTTGCAAGCCTTTGTAACAGCAGACCAGGCCCGAGGCGGCCTGGAAACCCACACTGATGGCACCGGGGCTCTCCTGCTTCCAGGCGGTCCTGCAAAACACAAACGGTGCTGTTAAATCAGGAACGTGGCCCTGTCCCACCTCACACCAAACAATCCCAGCTCACAAAATCACTTCAGAAATCATCCTGCCTGAAAAATGTGAGATAGCCCTCATGGCAGAGCGTGGTATAAAGATGTCCCCCCTCCACCAAGCAGGAAAGCCCCCAGCCCAAGATGCAAGGAGGGAAACTGCTCCTGCCCCTTCCAGAAGCAATGGGAAGCCCCCGCACCAGGGGCTTAAAGAAAAGGGCACTGTGGGAGCACTCGGGGCCCTGCAGTCCTACAGCAGGGTGCGGGCAGAGCAGGCCCTACCCCATTTCCCTGGCTCTCTTCACTCCCTTCACTCCCACACGCCTGCATTTCACTAGGCTCAGAAGACAGATGTCTCTTCCTGCCATGGACATGCCAGACAAACCCTGGGCCGCTCTTCACAGTCCCTAATTCCCCAAAATAGTGTCAAGAAAACTAAACACTGTGTGAAACTTCTCTGCAGTTTCTCCCTTTGGTTTCCTTCCCACCCGGCCGAGAACACGGGAACACGGTGCTTATTTTGACAGGAGTAAAGAAGCCTCTGTCTGTAAGTGAGGTTAACACCCACCCTGAGGCTGTGTTCTTGCTGGTCTCTCTCAGCAGCTGAGCATCTTGATTTCTGCTAATTAAGCTGCTTTCTTCTCCTTAATTAGCTGCATGTGAATCTTGTTGGGAAGTCTTGGATCCGTGAAATACTCTGGGATAAGAATCGAAAAGAGAAAATTATCTAAACCCAAGGGGAAAAGGCAGGGAGGGAGATGGCTTACTCGGCTCAAAAGCCAGCATGGCTCGGCCTCAGTAGGGCTGTTCCCGGCAGCCCAGCTTTCCGAGGTACAGGGAGAGGTCACAGCAGATCCGGAGGTCGCTGTCCCCGCCAGAGCCTGCCAGCTCAGGCCTTCCCAGGAAGGGCTTACACAGGATGGCTCCGGTCCATTCCCCGCTGCCCAGCAGCCTGTCGGCATGCTGAAACACAGGGAGCCATCAGAGGGCTAAGGGATCTCGGGGTTTTCTGCTCCTGGCCCATCCTGGGGCCCAAACAAATGCCAAGTGTTATTCTTGCCTCAGCTTAGCTTGCCAGCTCGTCTAGGAGACATCACGCCCTCTCCTCTCTGAGAATATCCTCTCCGAGGAGAGCCAGGCTCTCACACGATGACGCCAGAGGAGGGTTTTCATACACCCGGCATGATGTGAATCAGAGGCGGCATCTGCTGTGGCAGCAAAGACACACTAGACTCACTCAGAAATGGTGCGAGGCCAAAACCACTCCCTGGGCTAACAGGACCCAAGAAAGTGTCCAACCCAGCCCTTCCTTCTAAATACCTTTGACCTTAAGCCAGCGGCTGGGGAGTGGGAGGTAGTGGAGCCCATTAGGATAACCTGGGGAGCCTTTACAACTGCGGGGCTGGGCCCCAACCCTGGGCTAATTAATCACCTCAGGGAGTATGCCTAGGCATCAGCATTTCTTAAAAAGCATGTCTTAAAAGCTCCCCAGGTGATTCTAATGCGTAGCCAGGGGGGAGAACCCTGCTTTAGGATTCCTGGGGTGGGGAAAGAGCTGCCAGTATGCTCAGTCCTTTAAGCGTCCGCTTAAATACAGGTTAAGCCTTCGTGAGTTCGAGCCCCATGTCGGGCTCCCTGCTGACAGCTCAGAGCCTGGAACCTGCTTCGGATTCTGTGTCTCCCTCTCTTTCTGCCCCTCCCCTGCTCATGCTGTGTGTGTGTGTGTGTGTGTGTGTCTTTCTCAAAAATAAATAAACATTTAAAAAAAAAAGAGCTGCCAGTATGTTCCTCTGGGAATCTCAAAATTCTTCACGGTTCTCACCAGGAGGAAGCTCCGCCTCCTTTCTGATCTGTCCTCATTTTGAGGAAGTGACAGTGGAAGAAAGGGCCTTCTGAACAAAGCTCCCTGGGGGGACATCAGGTGAATAGGTACCCAGACTCCCAGGGAGAATCGTGGGCTTGTCCAGAGTCCAAATCTGCGATAATACAAACGTGCTGGTTTCTCAGACACCAAAACCGACGCTGCCTTACCTGCAGCAAATTCTTGGATGTCGTCCGGTCTTTTCAAAAACATTTCTCTGGAAAACATGAGGGATAAGGGCAGGAGTAAAGCTGGCTTGAAGGCAGGCTGTGCTCGGGCTGGGCTGTGGGTCCCGCACTTTCAGGGAATGGACCCGCCCAGGGGTCAGTCAGCCGGAGGGCTCCCGACAAAGACCCTCCCACTGGTGACTGTCCTTTGGGTCCTGCTCAGAGGCAGGGGGCAAAGTGTTCCAGATGGCACTAAGCCCGGGCATTGCTTGCCCCCCCAGGACAGCTGCGCCACAGCCCAGCGAGGCTTGTCATTCATTCAACAAACATTTTCACAGAACCGGAGGCCAAGCCACAGGCAGGCGGTGAAGGCCCGCTGCCTAGTCCTCGAGGCACAGATACACAACCCCACAGCCCGAGGATCACGTTCAACCATGGATTCCCACAGGGGCCAGGGGACAATACCATCAACAAAGCCGAGAAGATGAACTTGAGCTGCCGGTGGGGCCTGGTCCCTCACAGACTTTTATGGTTCATAAAGAATGTTCACAAATGTTATCTCACTTTACAACCCTGGGAAACAGCAATGAGCCCACTCCATTTTACATATGAAAGAAATCAAACCTTCAGAAGGTTAATCATTTGCCCAAGTTCATAAAGTGAGTAAATACAGGGCCAAGGGCCCAGGTCTTGTGGTGCCAAGGTCAGTGCTCTCTACATCACATCTCGTCGGCCACGGATGCCCTTGCCCATCAGCCTGGAAGAAGGCCTCCCCACCCAGAAAGCCCTGCCTCCCAAGCTTTAAGAATTTGGCCTCCCTCCTCCTTGAATTCCATTTGAGAATTACTGAGCACAGATTTTGTGTAAGTAACTATACTGGATATGAGGGAATGATTTTTTTTTTTTTTAAGATAAAATACAGCACCCCCTCAAAGAAATTAGTCAAGTAAAAGAGAAGGGGTAAGTTCTTTTTTTTTTTTTAAACGTTTATTTATTTTTGAGACGGAGAGATAGCATGAACGGGGGAGGGTCAGAGAGAGGGAGACACAGAATCTGAAACAGGCTCCAGGCTCTGAGCTGTCAGCATAGAGCCTGACGCGGGGCTCGAACTCATGGACCGCGAGATCATGACCTGAGCCAAAGTCGGATGCCTAACCAACTGAGCCACCCAGGCGCCCCGAGAAGGGGTAGGTTCTCAAATGTCCAAAAGGCCAAGCAACCTCCAGGAAGGGCTATAAGAGGGTGTTAACAGTGTGCTGCAGACAGGGAGACAGTTACTGAGAGTGGCAGGGGGAATCTTCATAGAGCAGCTGGCACCCCTTGAGGTGCACGTGAGATTTCAGTAGACAGGACAAGGGCATCCCACACCGAGGGGGGCAGCAAAGGCCCAGACATGAAAGGAAACAGCTCATGTTCTGTGGATGGTGAACTCCTCAGGGTAGGGACTGGGTCCTGTCCACCTTTGAAACCCCAGGGTCAGAAGAGCACTTGGAGTGTCAGCACCCTCGACAATGTCAATGGGGTCAGTGGAATGATGAGGTTCCGTCTGGCTGGTTGGGGGGCAGGCACATACAACAGGGGAAAGCAAAGGGGCCGTATTATGGAGAGCTGGAAGGCCAGGGAGAGACGATTACACTCAGTTCAGGAGGCGAGGGGGTGGGTGAATAACACTCAGACTAGTCCCAAAGTGGAACATACCCAGCATGAGAATGGGGGGGGGGGGGATCTAGGAGATACCATTGAGCAACTGTCACAAAAGAGCATGTACTGTAGAATTCCACTTACTAAAGTGCAAAAAAGGCAAAACAAATCTGTGCTAAGACAAGTCAGGATCCTGGCTACATTTTGGGGGGGATGTGCTTGGAAGGGGTCAAGGGCCCCTTGGAAGGGTCTGAGGGGCTAGTCAGGTTCTATTTCTTGATCTGGACCCTAGTACCATGTATATTCTACATCTTGTGAAAGTTCACTCAGGTTAGGGTATGCTACTTTTTATTACATTTCAACAGAATGTTTAAAAAAAAAAGGCAGAGGGGGCAATACTGTGGAGTCACTGAAGATTTTTCCAGCCAAGGAATGACATTATCACTTCTAAATTTTGGGAAGATTCATCTGCCTAGCTATATACTAAAATATTTAATAATGCCTTTCTACAATTTCCCTACTCTTCCCCTTTTTCAGGTCCAAAATTCAAGATATTAAGAGTTCCATACAGTGTGTACAAGTATACCCTGGAAAGCTGTGACTGAATGACCATAAATCATTAGGATCTGGAAAACCCAAGTGGAGAGCTTGCTTCCCAACAAAAACACTTTGGAGCTTCTCACGGGTTAGAGTGAGTCTAGAACAGAGACCTGAAGAACAAGTGAGGGCAGGTATGCTGTCCAATTCCATCCCCTCCTCTCCCTTCCTCTTTTCCCAAGGGGACAACCATCTGAAGTATCCAGTACACTTCCTCTCCTCCTCCCACCTCCACCTCAGAAAGAGAAAGGCCTAAAAGGGGCCAGGAGAATTTCCTGTAGGTAGCTTCAAGATCAGCAAAGGGAAAATCCTGGTGGCTTCCCTGGCCTGGAAGGTAGGAATAATAAGGAAGAGAAGGGGCTATTCTTGAAGCAGCCAGGCAGACACCCAGTTCTTCCTAGAAACTTCCTGGACAGAGAAGTTGGGCCATCCCTGACATGTGACTAAAACACCACCCTTTTCATTCACCACCACCTCCCAACACCTTGTGTTTGTGAACAATGCAAATGATTAATTCAGGCTTTTAACATCTCTCCCTAACCTCCCTGCTGGAGTCATTCCTAATGTGGACTGCAAGCTCCCTGGATATGAATGATGTCAACCTTTACTTCCCTTTAGAAGAAAAAGTACAAAGGGGCTTCTGGGCAGCTCCGTCGGTTAAGCACACAACTCTTAATCTCGGCTCAGGTCGTGATCTCACGGTTCGTGATCGAGCCCCATGTGGGGCTCTGCATTGACAGCATGAAGCCTGCTTGGGATTCTCTCTCTCTCCCTCACTGTCTGAACCCCACCCCCACCTCCTCGTATGCGGGTACACACACACTCTAATTATTAAACTTTAAAAAAAAGAAAAAGAAAAAGTGCAAAAGTGATGGCCTGCTCCCCAGGACTGACATTGACAAAAGACCCCTAAACTATTTTTTGCCCAAGCCTTATGACTGGCCCAAATAAACCAACCTTCACAGAGAAGTTTCTATTTTCCTTTTCTCCATCTCCTATCTGCCCTGTGAGAATCTGCTGCCATTGGAGAAATGACTAGGATATGAAGAACAAACAGTAAGATCCAGGAAAGACAAAGGAGTGTCAAAAACAACAAAATAGTGTCCTACACCCAATGGCTGCCTGTTGAGTTTCTCAATGCCAAATTACCTCTTCCAAGTATCAGAAGATACGTACTTACCCTTACAGCTAAAATGACTGAATATTCATATTTTTGAGAATTGAGAGATAACTGAAGAAAACCTCTAGAGATAACTTAAGAACACTCTGGGTGCCACAAATCCCAGAGTTAGAAAAAACTCAATTTTAAAATATTCTCTAACTTTTGAGGCGCCTGGGTGGCTCAGCCAGTTAAGCGTCCAGCTTTGGCTCAGGTCGTGATCTCATGGTTCATGAGTTCGAGCCCCAGGCAAAGGGCTCTGTGCTGACAGGTCAGAGCCTGGAACCTGCTTCAGATTCTGTGTCTCCTTCTCTCTGTCCCTCCCGCTCATGCTCTGTCTCTCTCAAAAATAAACATTAAAAAAAAAAACTTTTAATAAAAAATAAAATATTCTCAACCTTTAAAATATATTTATATGTGTACACACACACACACACACACACACACACACACACACACACACACATAATACCTTTCTGACCCTAAAGGCAGCAATAAGGAGTGTTTAAAGAAAGAAGCGGTCAGTCACACTCACGTCTCCGCAGCCAAGATCTGGTCATATTTCCCACTAGTTGTGGCCGGCTGGGAAAACCACCTACCTGAAGAAACCACTTATGAGCAACTCCACTTCTTTGTGCGTCCTTAGGTATTTTTCGTTAGCAATCCGGGTCTGAATCTGGGGGAACGAGAGCAAAAAGGTCACGCTCCATGAGGAGCCAGATTTCAGGGTTCAAGACCTGCGGGGGTGAGGCCTTGGGGAAACAAGATGAGCCTCTGACCTGGGTCTCTCCCCGGGATGTGTGACATTTTAAGCCGCCTGCTTTCTTACAGATCAACACCCCCACGCCGCCGCCTGCTCGGGCTCAGGGGCCATTACTAAGGCCCGGTCTCCACCGCCCGGAAGTTCTTGCCTGGATCGAAGGTACTGTCTCCGGCAATAACTTCGATCCACTTCCCCGTCTAAATGCCCGCTGTAGTTCTTCCTGCAGGCGCCTGTCGGGCTCGGTTTAGGGCCCCCGAGCCCAGGGGTCCGCCGGGGGCCCCCCAGCCGTCCACCCCTTTACCCGGAAAACGGCCCTCGCGCTCCTCCTCCCGGACCTCCCCCCGTTTGCGGCCCCCGTCCCGGGGGAGCCGCCCTTTGACGGAGGCGGGAGTGGGGGGCGCACCCACCTTGTAGCGGCTTAGCTGCTCCTGCTGCGCGGGGCTCAGCGCCCCGGGGTCCGACCCCAGAAACCCGCCCTGCAGCGTCGCCATCTTGTCCGGGTCGTCAAGGCGACGGGCCAAGCGGCCGAAGAGGCCCCGCCCCCCCAAATCCGGCTCTCTCCGGCGCGCGGGCCGGGGTTGGGGCAAGCGGTGCGGGGGCCGCTCTCAGGCCGAGGAGTAACTTCGGGCCGCTGTCCGCGAGATCTGCTTCCCCAGAGTGGGGGGCTCATTTCCCGTCGTGGTTGTATGTGGAATGGGTTCTTCTGGACCCCACCCAGCCTCACATAGTGTTTTTTTCTAGGCTCTAGAGGAAAACTGGAAAAGGGATTCCTAAGTTAGCAGTCTCCCAGAATCTGGCTCCTGACCCTCTCCCTTGTTTGGCAACTGTTGAAACCTAATAGTAGGGAGAGAGGATTCAAGCTTCTTCCCCTTCCGCTGAACCCCTCCATCAGTCCTGTAGACACTTGACACTTAGTAGCCTGAAAGCATCCCAAAGGATGGAGTGAACCGAGTTCTGCAAAGGAAGGAACGTTCTCACGCCAGAGACACTGGAAAGGACGGG